GAAGATATGCTCAAAAGTAATCTTACGGTAACTGGCTTGGCAACATGAGCAAAAGATTCATTGTAATCTTTGCCTGGTATTTGTAAATAGCCTTGAGCAATCAATCGAGCCTTACAACGTTGAAAGCTCCCATCTGCATTTCGCTTGACTTTGAAAATCCATCTGCATGAAATTGGTTTTAGTCCATTGGGCAGAGGAGTAATTTCCCAAGTCTGGTTACGCTCAAGAGCATCAAGTTTTTCTTCCATGGCTGTTCTCCAGGTAGCATCTTGTTGTGCCTGTGCAAAGGATTTACGTTCCTGCAAGTTAACATTATAGATAACATGCCAAATATGCTTAAGGGAGTGAGAGAATGTGGTAACATAGTCCTGTAGCTAGACAGGGGCTTTGTGAGTTCGCTTGGTATAATGAGAGATATAAGGAGTGGATTCAGATGAAAGAGAAGAAATGTTAGGGGTGGTTGCTATGTCGGATGCAAGTTGATATAAAATGGGAGATATATCTGTATAGGATGGTGAAACAGATAAGGGTTCCTGTATTGGATCATAGGATTGGTCTGGCAGCTCAGATTGTGTGGAAAAAGAAGAGGCAGGTGATAATCTGATGAGTAATGGGGAATGCACATGAGCAGGTTGGTCATAATAATCTATATGAGGTATAGGTTGAGGAGAAGATGGTGAGAGGATAGAGTCAGAAACATAACCAGGGGCAAAAGGAAAAATAGTTTCATGAAAGATAACATCCCTAGCTATTAGTCTCTTTCTATGCTCAAGATCAAAGAGCTTGAAGCCCTTTTGGCCAGCTGGAAAGCCAAGAAATATGCATCTAACAACCCGGGGATAAAGTTTTCTTTTATGGGGGAATATGTTGGTTGCATAACAAAGACAAACAAATATCTTCAAGTTGGAGTAGTCAGGCTTTTTGTGGTGAAGTTTCTGAAATGAAGTGGGCCATTTCAGAACTGAGGAAAGAGTTTTATTGATCAGGTAAGTAGCATGTAGGACAACCCCTCCCCAAAAATATGTAGGAAGAGAGGCTTGAAACTGGATAGCTCGAGTAAGTTGGAGGAGATGTTTGTGTTTTATTTTAACCTTACCATTCTGTTGAGGTGTGAAAGGATATGAATGATGATGAATAATGCCATGACCTTGATATAGAGCTTGACATTTATGGTTAAGAAATTTAGAACCATTGTCGGTTCTAATACATTTAATGGAAGAGTTATATTGGTTTCTTATCAACAAGATAAAGGTTTCAATATGATAATGAAGATCATGTTTATTAGATAAGAGATAGGTCCAAGTAGTTCTAGAATAATCATCCACAATGGTTAAAAAATAATGACAACCATTTAGAGTAGGAGTTTTATAGAGACCCCATATGTTCATATGTATCAATTCGAAAAGACTGTTGGTTGTGGAACGGCTCTTATTAAAAGGTAATCTAACTTGCTTGGCCCTATGACAGGTATCACAAGGTTTGCAAGAAAAAGAGTTGCACAGGTTCAGATGTTCAAGGGTGTCTAAAGAACTATGGCCTAACCTACAGTGCCACAACCAACAGAGATTAGAAGTAGCAGAGATTGAGGAGTTTATGCTGTGAGAGAGAGGGTGCATGTAGAGGCTTCTTTCCAGCTTTCCAGTGGCCAAAGTTTGCTTAGAGCTCTGGTCTTGTATAACACAATGCGAAGGTGTGAAAATTAGATTATGAGATGTATTATTTAATAAGGCACTCACGGACAGAAGATTGAATTTAAATGAAGGAACATAGTAAACATTATGCAGGGTGAGCTAAGGGTGAAAAATGACAGAACCAACTTTGGTAGTTGTAATCTGTGTTCCATCAGGGAGCATTATTTTAGGCATGTGATTTAAGTGTGTGAGAGAGGTGAATAAGGATTGGTTCGAGCATATATGACACGTAACTCCGGTGTCCACAAGCCAAGAATCACCATCCAAATGCACTGGACAAACAACATGAGTCATACCTGAGTAATTTAGAGCAGAGTTGGCATATTCTGTTGGAGCTTCAGACTGAATGATTGTAGTCTGGTTAGAATTCAGTAGCTTTTGCATCTCTGTTTTAATAGACTTAATCAGATCAATGAGCTCAGAGTCCTTACTGGGAGATTTGTTTGGCTCCTTCTTATCCACCACAGCTGCAATGGAATGTTTTTTCTTGTTATCAGTGCCTTCTTTGTACCAATCTGGAATGAAAGCAAGTTTTTTTATTGTGTCCCTTCTTTGTGCAGTATTCGCATATCTAGCTTCACTTGTCAACTTGGTTCTTCTTCCTAACAAACAGCTTATGACCAGTGTCTTTCACAACTAACATAGCACTATGTTCAAGTGCAATGTGAATTTCACGTTGTTTCTCGAATTGCAGCAGTAATGAGTAAACCTTGCTCATGGTTGGAAAAGGATCCATGATCAATATTTGTCCTCTTGCTGCATCATAACTATCATTAAGGCCAGTGAGAAATTGGATCACCAAATCTCTATTCATCTTGACCAGAAGTCTTGTGTTTAGATCACAACTACATGAGTTTCCACATTTGCACTCAATATGAGGATCAACAGTCGGCCATTCCTCCCACAGTTCTTGCAGTTTGGTTGCATAGATTGCAAGGGAATCATGACCTTGCTTAAGAAAGTTAAGGGACTGCTTGAGTTGGAATATGAGCGAGACATTGGACTGACCGAATTTCTCTTTCAAACTTTCCCACAGATTTTTGGCTGTAGAGATGAAAATGAAAGCACCTTGTAGATCAGTGATCTGTCGCGCGGTCAATCAAATATTTCACCTACTCCGTGATCACAATTTAATGTAATATAGGGGAAGTGATCGTCTCCACAGGGATTCTGTGATTCACTCTTTCGTGTTCTAATGCAGTAAATAAAGAGGGAATTTTCTTTTATTATCTATCTAATGAAAATAAAATAACAAAGCAATTAAATTAAGGGGGAACTGACTATCAAAGGGATGCCTGGCTCAAGGGATGATGCAGTTATGACACTTGTGTTTTGTCATTAATTCAATAAAATTAATTCTTATTAAAGTATCAATAAATTGGTTATAGTTATCAACAAGCTCTGACAACCAATTTTTCCTTACAGTGTAGGTAATTAAGGTACGACGGTTAACTTACCCTAATTAAGCAAATAAACTTAGGTGCGCCCATAAGAATATTGCTTAACCGCATTGTAATCTAGAAAAACCCAATTCAAAACAATCACTACCCAGGAGGAGCAATTATATTTGATTGTCTAACCCCCGGGAATGAAATATTCAACCCGGTTATCACCTATTCAAGTGCGAATACAATTACGGATATCCTACCTGAATTGAACTTTAGATTATTAGACTAATTTAAATATCGGTACCAAAATATTCAATCAATCTAACAATCACAAACGCTATTCTCAGAATTAGACAAATCTTGATAATCAAAAAGAACTTTTATAAAGAAAATCAAGAATCTCCAAAACAAAAGAACCAAAACATTATCACCCCTCAAACCAGAAAAGTATCTACTTCATAATCAAATAACAAAGAATAAAAGAGAAACATGAAGTCATAGTGGGATGGGGAAATCTTCTCTTTCGATTTGCTCCTGCGTGATCTATGAATCTATCAGTCTCCTGCTCCTGTGCGTTTCTGCCCTAGCCGTTCCCAAATAGGCGTGTCTTTTTTTCTTCTTATTTGATTTTTGCCATAATTATTTTGTAGATGGGCTTTTGGGTCTTTAATTAATTTTATTTCCTTTTTTCTGCCAATTATGCCAAATTTAATATTTGTCCTCTGCACACAGCAAATAAACAATTCGCATATAAATTAGGTAGAATTCAATCAAAATCACCCAAATATCGCATATGATATGAATATAAAACGCATGCGATTTCTAACTATCAATCAGCTGAAATGGAATTAATAATCCATCCCCTGATAAGGGCATTCACCTCCATCCTGGTATCATACTCAAGAGAAGTTGGTTCTGGCTTTGGTTGCTTGCCTGTGAGAAAACCAGTCTTCCCTTTGGCCATTAAGGCATTCTTGACGCGGTGACTCGGTGAAATAATTGTTGGTTGTAAGAGGTGTTGAGGATAATGTTAGGTGTGATTGATCACCACTAGATAACTGCAAAGCTTTGGGCAAGGTTTTTTGAACAGTCATGGCTTGGGCTGCCAATCTAGCAAATGTTTCTGCAGTATCTTGAGGAACCCGAGTAGGAGGTTTGTTGGGTGATTCCATTAATGAATCACTAGATGAAATGAGAGGAACGACTATTGCTCTGATACCATGATAATAAAAAAGAAGAAATAATGAGATATGGTCCCATAGCAAATCAGTATAACAAACTAACAAACTAATGTACACATGTATAGTGATATCTAGATTTATCCATAATCTGTATCATCACTTCAATTCTTCTGTTGGCTTCTTCTGTTGAGCCTCTTTTGCTTCTTGGGTATATTGTTGAATGGGCTTGTTGTAGATCACTCCAGCAGCAACTTCATTCATCACAATAATACAATTGTAGTAGTGAACTCATGTACTTGAATCCTCAACCCTGTTACATGTTTTATTTCATCTTGATATACTTTATTTATTTTTTCATACAAAATTAAGAATAAACTAAATTAAACTTGTTAACTACACTTGTAAAATAATATTTCACTCACAATATTTCAATACTTACCAAATTTACTTTCATTTTTTTTTTTCATTTGCCCGTTAAATTAATCCTATTATTAATTTTGATAAAATCAAACATTCAATATTTAACAATTATTTTTTATTTAACACTTATTTACCATAATTGTTACTGTTTCTATTACGTCCTCTATCTTCATTTCATTTAATTACTAACTAAATTTTACCATTAACTATCTTTTTACTTTTCTTAATATTTTAATAAAATATTCATTGTCAATTCCAAATTAACTAATTTTTACCGAAGAAATATATATATATATATATATTATATCACCACCTTCACCTATACGGCTATACCTACCGGGAGATGTATACTACTACTACTAAAAATCATTAATTCTAACATTATAGTACAGCACAACCCTCACAAGCCACAAATACACCGTACAGAATACATACAAATCAACACGAACTAAAACCGCCGGCGGCCGCCGGGGGTTTCTTCTCCGGCAGCAGACAACCGATCCGCGGCACCGTCGCGGTCTGCAGCGTCCCGTACGCCTTCCAGCAGAAGGGCCCCTCGTCGTCATCGGCGGCCTTTCCGGCGGCCGGCGTCAGGTTTATGCCGGCCATGGTAATTCCGGCGCAGGGGTGGGAGTCGCTGCACGCGAGGCGCACGGGACTGGCGCCGGTGTAGGTGCCCTGAATGTTCTGGTAGGCGACGCCGGCGACGGCGACGGCGGAGGTCTTGTTCCGGCAGGAGTGGGAGTTGCAATAGTACTGGTCGATCTGAATGGGCGTGACGACCTGGGCCACCTGTATGTTGGCGAAGATGATCCCCTGCACGAGGCCCGACCCGCCCTGCCACGTCTTGATCCGGACGCCCGTCATGGTGCCCTGCATGGCCGTGTCACGGACCGTCACGTTGGACACGCACGCCCTCGTGCCGTCCTTTCCCAGCCCGCCGATGCTGATCCCGTGGCCCGGCCCGCAGTTGACGTTGTGGACGTACACGCCTGAGCACCCTGTCTGTATCGAGATGCAGTCGTCTCCTATAAATATACATAACCTTCATTTATTTTCGTCCATATATCACAGTATATATATATATATATATCTCTACATTTTGATATTGGATCAGCAGTTCTATTTTTGCCCAGCTCCACATAGTCCTGGCTCAGTTTACCGGTAAGATTTTACTTAAGGATTTTACTATTCTATATATTTTTTTTTTCTCCAAAACTATCAATTCAAAGAATAAATTTTTATTTATTTTATTACACTAAAATCTAATTTTACATTCAAATCATCACATCAACACATATTTATATCACATCAAATAACTATTTCAATTCAAAATTTTATTATTTTAAAATCAAAATTCAAAACCAAAACCTCACAAGTGGCTGAAGATTTTGTGTTAATCCGGTCAAATCAACATCATATTCACTTGATCAACAACTTATTTGATATATACATACTAAATGTGTATGTATATGTGATATACATAAATTTTGTATTTATAAAAGGTTTCAATTACTCTACCCACTGAATTATTGCCTCTCGTGTATTGATCAATCACATTATTATTACTACTTTATTTTTCTATGTTGATATTTGAATATTAATTATTATATCGAAATATAGTATAAATTAAGAAAAAGTTACAAAAATACTATCATCAGTGTTTTATAATACTAATAGAATGACAATTGTAATTATACAAATATAAAAGTATTTTTAATGTTAATACAATGACGTAAAAGATAAATATAGCCTTAAAGGCGAACGGAGAGAGTATTATTTTTGTTTTAAAAATATATGTGACGGAATGTGATTAGTCGGTACACAATAGACATAATTCATTCGGATAAGGTAACTAAATCGGGGCGGTGATTCTCTCCCTTACATTTTGTATCAAATTAGATATTTTTTTATAAAATATAAAATTAAATAATTAATTTTTTTTTTAATTTTTAAAATTCAAAAACTTTTACAATGTATTTTTCCAACAAACAAATTTTGATACATTATTAAGATTATAAAAAATATAATATATTAAAAATAATAAAATTCAGAACATATTATTTATTATTATTATTACTAATAGCCTCTTTATACCTAATACTGTAAAAAAACACATTAAGCTAGGCGGAAAAAAGACATAAAAAAAAAAAGACATAAAAAAAAAAAAAAAAACACAACAATTTTTTGTGTTTTTTTTATTTATTGTTATTCTAAAAATATATATATATATATCTAATTGTCAAAATATCATTTTAGAGAGAGAGGGGAGAGACAGAATATGCCACTATGTCTCTATGCTATTTACTTACTTCCTCCGTCCTATGTAATATAGGTATATTACCGTAGACACAAGAATTTAGGTAAAGTATAATTAGTAAATAATTAAGAAATATATTAGTAAAAATAATTATTATTTAGTAAAAATTATTATAGATTAAAATTAAGATAAGTAAATAGTTTAATTAAAATTAAGAAAATTATAAAATTTAAAATTTAAAACGCGATTAAAGTACATAATTATATTTCCAAAAATAAAAAAGATAAGTTATGTGGGACGGACGAAAATAGAAAATAGGGACAAATTATGTGGGACGGAGGGAGTATTTATTAATATGCTTTTTTATATGATTTATTTGAATATAAATTTATGATATATATATTACTTCCTTCAAGTCCTATGATAAAGTATTTATTTTTTTATTTTGGTCTATCCCATAACAAAGTATCAATTTTTTTTTTGTAAATGTACTATCTACCTAATATTAAAAATACCTTTACAACTTCCAATATATTATATAAATATCATTATATTTATATCACATAATACTAACAAAGTCATTTTAGTTATTTTTATTTTATTCCTACTATATCTTAATATAATACTAATATTTTTAAAACTTCGTGCAAAAAGCAAATGAATACAATGTTATGGGACGGAGAAAGTATTAGATAATGTGGCGAGATATGTACCGCAGGAAAGAGATGCAGTGTGGATGAGGACATTTTGGGAATTCTGGAGGTGGATTCCGTCGGTGTTGGGGCTGTCTCCAGGGGACGAAACGCTGATGCCGTACACATGGACGTCTTGACAGCTGTCGAACTTCAGGTGCGTCTGAGGGCTGTTTTGTATTTTCACACCTGTAACGGTTATGTCTGTGCTCCCGTAGAACCGAACCGCCTGGATCCATTGGATAATTCCATTCCACATCACTCTCATCACATTTTTATTACTACAAAATAATAATATATATATATATTGTACTACTCACTGTGGGCTTTGTGCTAGGCATTTTTCCGGCGGCGGCGCCGCCCCACCAGACGGATCCGCGGCCGTCGATTGTTCCTTTGCCCTGGATTGTGATTCCTCTGAGCTCTGTAAATTCTAGCCACTGCACCAGACCTGATTTCCATGATCCAGACTTGGTTGGAGCTATTATATTCCCATCTACCTGCACTAATATTAATATAAATATTAATTTTAATTAATCAATTAATTAAATTCAGACTATCCGTTTATCATCAATTTCATCAAAAACAGGCAAATTAGTAGAAATGGTTACACGGACATATAACCATAGCAATTGTGTAAAATAAAAACAAATGCTCCCTCCGTCCCAAAAGTATAGTCTTATTGGATTCAATACAGAATTTAAAAAATATTGATATTATATGAATAGTCGGTAAAAAGTAAGGATAAATGACTTTTTTTGCCCGAGTATATTAGTATAAAAATAGTGGCAATTGTGTAATAATAATAAAAAAAATAAGAATAATTTAATGGTGATATTGTTATTTATGGAAATAAGACTATTGTTTTAGAACGGACAAAAATGGTAAACAAGACTATTGTATTGGGACGGAGGGAGTACATATTTGTTGTATTGAAATTAATTGTATTATGTATTGCGGGAAACTATGTTATGTGTTATAATTCATGTGTTGTCATTTGCATTATAGTAATATAATTCATGTATTGTTTGTCTTTATATTGTTGTTAGTATGTCATATAATATTATGTTTGTTTGAGATTATCAATAGTTATATTATATTGACATAATTTATATTTTACTCTTTTCATATTTACTTTTGTTGTCGGTCATTATATTTAATATTAGAAACATTCTTATATTTTTATAATTTTCTGTATAAATATTATTTTATTAGTATTATAAGATATTAATAAAAATAGTTTTGTAATTTTTTCTTTATTTATTCTGCATTTTGATATAATAATTAGTATTCAAATACTAATACCAAAAAAAAAAAAAAAATGAAACCCTTATTATTCAATAATATGTTTGCCATATATGATGCGTTGATTATCCTTATATTATGTGCTGTGGATTCACGTGCTATATTTATATTATATTAGATATTTTAAATAATATTTTTTGTATTGGTATATTTTACTTATATTGTGTGCTGTCAAATTAATTAATATGAAAAAATAATTAAGTTACCTGGAAGACAAGACTGTGCGAGCAGCCCCGGCCGGAGAAGGAAACCTGCCTGACCAGAAACACGAACCCCGCCGGAACCACCACCGTGGATCCTTTTCCGGTGCAAGCATCTGCCCACGCCGCCGCGAACGCATTCGTGTCGTCGGAAACTCCATCCCCTTTTGCTCCGTAGCTTCTCACACTTAAGGAAGCGCCGCCGCCGGGGGTAGGAACCACCGGCGGCGGTGGTGGAGGAGGAGGAGGGCTGCGCTTTGGCTGCTTGGAGTGTTTCCGGTGCTTTTTGCCGTCGCCGGCCGGCAGAAGGCACACCAGGAACGTGACATAAACGAGAACCTTAAGAATGTTCTTCATTGCATATGTTTGTATGTATATATGTATGTATCTATCAGGTGTGTTAATTAGTTGTTATTGTTGCAATTCCATCAGCCCTGTTATTTATAGTGTGCTCAGAATGATGTTTCCACGGGTGTGTACGTGTTTGTTTGTGCTTTATTGGGGGGTTTTCGATAATTTTTTTTTTTCTTTCAAAAAAAAAAATTAAAAAATGAGAACTGGGGTGTGTTCACGAATTTTATTTTAAGCTTTTTAGTTTCACATTGTTGAATTTTGTATAAAAAGAAATTGTATATATGGAATATTTTCATTAAAAATGAGAATTGGGGACAATACTTTTTACTATACAATATCATCTATCACAATAAAAATAAAATAAATTAAAATATCCAAATACAGCCAAGATGTAAATAAAAACAAACACAGAGATATACTTTGTGTGCATACATATATATATACATGAGGTGAACAGTAGTTATTACACTGATATTTTTTTTTTTATTCTTAATTCAAATTAATTGCGTATCGTATGGACAATTGCTAAGAATACTAAGTATCCATCCAATTGCGTTACTAAAATGCTAAGGTTTTCATTTAAATTTATTGTCATATTAATATATGCATGCATTTTATTATGGTAAAGTGGACTTACTGTTAATTCTTGATCCAATCATCTCCATATATATATTTTTGTATGTTATGATATCATATGTGTTGGTTCTCAATTCTTGATTAATTAATTAATTGTGGACTATAATATAGTATATGATATATATACGTAATTTGTAGACAACAAGAATAATAATAATAATAATAATATAATAATAATGTATATATTGTCAATGATCACACAGTACTGTGAATTTAAACTTGTTTTAATAATATATTTCAATATGCTATTTAAATTTTACGGAAAAAATTATTTTTGGTCCCAATATAATCAAAATTCATCAATTTTGGTCCAAATATAAAAATTTTATCAATTTTGGTCCCAATATAATCAAAATTCATCATTTTTTGTCCAAATATAACCAAAACTCATCATTTTTTTTCCCAATATAAAATTTTTATCAATTTTAGTCTCAAAATTTCATCATTTTTTTATCACAATATAATCAAACATTATTTTTTTTGGTCCCACACTGTCAACAAACCGACGGAAAATGCTGACGTGAAAAGAAATCAAACCTTATATTTTTTTGGTTCCACCCTCAACAAACCGACGGAAAATGTTGCAAGATTGTGCAATTTCTTCAAATATAAATATAAGGTTTGATTTTTTTTTCACGTCAGTATTTTATGTTGATGTGTTGACGGTGTGGGACCAAAAAAAATAATGTTTGATTAAAAAATGATGAATTTTGATTATATTGAGACTAAAAATGATAAAAATTTTAATTGAGACAAAAAATAATGAATTTTGGTTATATTGAAATCAAAATTGATAAGATTTTTATATTGGGACCAAAATTGATGAATTTTTACTATATTGGGACAAAAATAATTTTTTCTCTAAATTTTATTTGTGGGATTTCAATTCTTGGTTCCTTTCTAAGTATTTTATTATTCATTCCATTTTATTTATAAGAGGGTATCATGATCAACCATGTATCGTGGGATTTGCATGTAATATTTATGTGTTTATATATACATAAATATATATATAGAGAGAGAGAGAGAGAGATGACTATAGGCAGGAATTATTACTATAAGAATTAGAAAAAGAATAATTAAATGGATTTCCCAAGATGTAGAATCCATAAATCGTGCAATCAATTGTGTTTTGCTATGGAATATGCATGTGATAATTTAAAGAAACAAATCTGCCAACGAAGACTTAATTGTTGCACATATATATATATATATATATTAGAGCTGGCACGACATGAAATAATTGGATTTGGGTTAAAGATTTCAATCCGATTATGTATACGGGTTGACACGAACCTGACACGATAATAAACGAATCGTGTTAGGATTGAGACTCTCAACTCGAACCCGACACGACAACCCGATTATAATATATTAATATTGATTAATATATGTATTATATATGTAAAATAATCATAATTTATTAATTTTCTCATAAATTAATTTAAACTAAGTTCAATTTTAAATAATTCAACCTAATTTACGCTCAAATCAATAAAAACTAACGTAACATGACAACACAACATAAATTTATTTAATTTGAATCAAGAAATTCGACTTAATTATGTATACGGGTCAACACGAGTCAACCCGCACCCGACACAATAATAAACTGGGTCAACACGAACCCGAAACGATAATAAACAGGTTGGGTTATGATTGAGTAATTTAACCTGTTTAAAGTATTCAACCTGATACGAACCCGACACGAATCGACCCATTGTCAGCTCTAATATATATATACATACATGCATGCATGTGTTTACAAATTAATTTCCAATCGAGATTAAAATTGATCAATCTTGATCTCTGTATTACTTTCACAATAATCTCATAAATTAATGCATAAGATGTATTTCATTACATAAATTAATCATACCCATGTGTCTAAATGTGTATTTTATTCATCAATTTTATAACAAAGTTGAAATACAATTTAAGGGGTCAAACCACATCAAAATAAATATATTATTTCAAAAAAATGAACTTGGCAATTATACCTTATGTAACGTAGTTTTTTCATTTAAATAAAAATATATGGATATATATATATTATTCAATATGTCACTTATCTTACTTACATGAGGTTATATTTAAGATGTGAAAATAAAATGAAGTTACATTGTTGACAAACTAATAAAATTTTTTACTTTGGAAGAAAATAAAAGCCATTGAATGCGGCATGGGATGTGGTAAATTGTTGACTTGGATCATGCAAATTATTCTATTAATCAATTGATCGGAATTTATAATTCAATTTTATATTTTTTTATAATTTTATATGTATATGTGACTATATAATACAGCATCCACATGTGATGTGATGATTGCATAATAATTAATTTGCATCTCTAAATATAAATATTTTTTTAGCCTGTGGGCTTAACAAAGTAAATGTGAATTTATATATATATATATATATATATATAGAGAGAGAGAGAGGTAAAATTGTTTATAATTCCCGAAATTCAGCGTAAAATCTTCTTATATTTTAAAAATTGCATGGTACTCTTTATATTTTAAGAAACGTTGCATGAAACCCTACCACCATGAAAAGATGATTTCATATCTATATATTTTGCATGGCGGGAGGAGGGGAGTTTCATGCAATGTTTTTGAAAGTATAAGAAAGCGTCATGTAATTTTTTAAAAGTAAAATGGGTATTTATGCTAAGTTTCGAAACCATATAATGGTTTCATGCAATATTTTTTCAAGTATAAGGCGGCGTTATGCAATTTTTAATGTAGATAGAGAGATTTATGTTGAGTTTAGAAACTACAAATTTTGCCTGATTAATTATTTGTGTGTAAGTGAGATATTTGTGTGGATCAAATTTGATTTAATTGACGGGTGATGATGATTAAATTAAAGAATTCAAAGACAGGATCTATGTTAGCCTTGGAATTATGTAATAATGGATACATTTATTGTAGGCATAGTGTAGCTTGCAAGAATACTTCAATTCTGTATTTGTTATTAGGGACATGTGAATGTACATTAATTGGCTAATAACTAAAATTATATATTGATCATAATTATTGAGCTAAATTAGACTTGCAAGTCTCATCATCCACAATTCAAATAAATAAATAAATAAATAAAATCAATCAAGATGTAGTATTCTTGTTGTTATTATTTGTATATTAATTTATTCCATTTATGAGATTGTCATCAATTTTAAATAAGATCTTAGTCGATCGTATTGCGTTGGGCTGAACAATAACGGTGGCCCATTATCGGCCCAATATAGAATTTGTACGGAATGCACTTGCATACATTTTACCTCACGGATGATTTTACATTGTAAGTTAAAAGTAAATTTACGAATTCCTAAGGTCGTCCTTTCGATTTTGGATTTTTACCGTCATCAAGACTGTTTATAAATTTCTTCTCGACCCTTCTCTGTCATGCCTCGATTTTGGTTAAATATTTACGATGAAATAGTGTCGAAAGTTCTGCTCCAACAACAGATACCTCAAACTTCTTTGTCCTATTAATGAAAGAGGCCTGCAACAAGTAGGATTTCTATTTTTCTACTAATGCAATAGCAGCTCAGACCATCTGACGTCTATCAAACTAAGCTCTGGGCAGCCGCAAATAGGGTGGGCATGGTTCGACTATTTGCAAATATCCGAGTATTTGATATTTGAATCGAATCGAATAAATACCCGAAATCGCAAACTGTATCTAAATCGAACATTTTGATTAACCAAATTTTCAGTTAACTAAAAATATTTGCAATATTTATAAATAATTTTAACCGAACCGAAATTAAGAAAATAATATATTAAAAAATAATTAAAATTCTAATTAAATCAAAATATTTGTAAATATTCTAAATATTCGAATCAAGTAAACGAACCGAAACCGAATATGATTATTATTATAAATTTTAAAATATAATAATATAAATATGAACCGAACAAAAAAAAAAAATACTCCCTCCATCCCACCTGAAATGATACCTTTAGGTTGTGGCACTGAATTTAAGGTAATGTAATTTAGTGAGTTAAAGTAGGTAGTTTAGTGAACTAATGATGATAGTTTATATTATAAGTTTATTAATTTTTTTATATAGATAATATTGCTAATAATTTTATATATTATTTAAATTTTAATAATATTTAATACTTTTATTTTATTTTAAAATCTAATAAATTTAAATGTTTAGTAAAAAAAAATTAACAATGAAAATGTTATATAGTATTAAAATTAAATTAGTTTTAATAGGAAAAGTTTTATATTGTGTTTTATATTTTCTGTGTAATAAACTTTAATTATTTAACTTATAATTTTAACATAATCGTATTATTTCAAATTTAATAATAAAAATACAATATCAAATCATAACTATGAAATCATTTCAGCGACAATTTTAACACAACATAATAAACCATTCCATATTTGATAATAAAAACATAATTTCAACAATAATAAAACTAGAAAAAATCATTCTAACCATAATTTTAACATAATAAGTTGTTTCAAATTTGATAATAACAAAATTATACAGCATCAATTGTAGCAAAAAGATACCGGATAGAGTATAACAAATCACAAATACAACATCAACCAGTCAATTGCAGTAACAAAAAAAAAAACAATCTGGATGTGAAATTCTGTCAAATACTCCCCAAATTTTGATTTCCCTCCTAATAGTTTCCCGCCAAAATTACATATGTTGTAAACTACACCAAGGGGACCATAAAAAATTTAACCTTTGCACTGCCATTCACAAAAAAATACAGAAAGATTAGTCAAGATGCAATAGAGTAGAGAATGGATAAAAAGACAATCTAGTGGTCTCGGAATCAAAGTCTATTACTCCTCCCTTCGACATCCTCGGCAGCGAGGTGGTGGCGGCTGACCAAGACCCATAAAAAATCGGATTAGGGGGGTTAGAATCCATGGCGAAATCGACTACGGCTTTCATTATGAATGAAGAAGAATTGCGAAGTTGACTAGAGCTTTTGTTGGGGGAGGAAAAAGAATTGCAAAGCTGTTAGAATTTGTATGATTTAATTATTTGTTTTAATCATATTATGGGTTTGGGTGAGTTTGTTTATTTATATATTGAAAATAAAATATTTTATATTAATAATTGAATAAGATAATTAATTTTAATGATTATTGTTAATTATGTTTTGATTTGATAAGCTTTACTTAAAAATAAAAAAGAATCATTTAAGGTGGGACAACAAAAAAAATGAAATAGTATCATTTCATATGGGACGGAGAGAGTATAAAAAACCGAAATCGAACTGAACAAATATCAAATATGCAATATTTATATCCGAACAAAATTTGCTCCGTTAACCAAAAATTCGGTTCGATTTTTTTTTCCACCCCTAGCCGCAAACCCTTTCCGGCAACGGCAACGGCAACCTGAGAAATACGACAACAAACGCATGCAGCAACCAAGTTGGAAACACTACAAAAAATTACTTGGTAGGTAGGTAGTAAAATGTTGCAATAATAGGTAGGATCCTTCAGGGATACAAATCATAATTCGAGATGACACATTAATAATAATAAGGTACTAGTAGAGATGTACTAGTGACAAATGATGTATATCCTTACTCCATAGTCTGCAATGCTACAACAAAAAATCAACATCGACATAACAGGCTGACTCTGGCCGTCTGATCAGGATCTCAACCATTTGGGTGATGCCATCCCATCATATCAATCATTCATTCTTCATTTCACTTTTTCTTAATTAACCAAATCCAATCCAATCAATCAATAATCCCGGGAGGGGCGGCTCTTATCCATCATAATAGAAGATTCATGGAAGCCGCCGCTCCGTCTAGGAACCGGGCTACGGCTGCGGTGTCGATCACCCCATCCTCCTCCTCCTCCTCTATGAGGAGGACTCCTGCTGCGGCTCCGGCTTTTGCCTCCTTTCATGCTATCATGGAAGCTTCCATTTACACTTCCACCAACACCCATACCAACATGGGATGATGATGAAGGTGGGGGCATACCCCAACTGCCACCGCCGCCTCTTCCTCCTCCAATCCTGCCATTGTTGTAAGAATCATAGCGGCCCCCACCACGCCCTCCTCCATCACGCCCACCGGGGCCTGAACCCCATCGTTTTGCCCTTCCCATCCCAGCCCCACGTGAGGCCATGTCACGAACTTCAGCAGGAACACGTTGATTGGCTCCTTCCAAAACTTTGACGAGGTCAGATGCATGCCTCATGTCCTGGTCGCACAGGAATGTGTAAGCCAGTCCTGTGGCACCAGCACGCCCAGTTCTACCAATTCTGTGAACGTAGTCCTCTATTCCAGTTGGGAAGTCGTAGTTTATAACCACCCTGTTATGACAGAGAACCACTGAATGAGATGAAGTAACAATATACGCAACCACTTTCTCTAAGCTGTGAAACTTGGAATGCTATACTGCAAACAACTCATCTAAACAATGTATAGTATATATGATTGCAATCAAGTGGAGAAATATATAGTCGTATGTCTGTCTCATTTGGCTTGCACTACTACTATTATATAGTTGTTCACTTAGATTCTGGCTAAGGATAAAAAGCATTCATACTTGATCATATGTTACGAGATGAGATGATTTAAAAGTAATAACCAACCTGATATCCTTGATGTCGAGACCACGTGCAGCAACATCAGTGGCCACAAGCACTGGGGACCTTCCAGATCGAAACTGGTTCAATACATAGTCCCTTTCACCCTGAGATTTATCTCCATGGATAGCAGCAGCTCCAAATTGCCGGGTTAGATGACCTGCAAGTTGGTCACACATTTTCTTCGTAGAGCAGAAAATGATTATCTTTGAACCCGGATCTTGAGTTCTTAATATCTGCTCCAGGCGCCTGCGCTTGTCCATAGACGATAGCACTTCAATATGCTGTGGCACAGGGTAAGCATTAGCAGAAGTCCGTATCGCAAAAAAATTGTGAACATATCAATAAAAGTCAATATGGTGAAAACTATGAAAACATATTTCCCATAGTGTACTGTTTAGTGGAGGATAATCATCAATAAACAATCAAAATCCAGTAGTAATCATTTGAAAACACACCTGGGTTATGGCTTTGTTTGCAACAAGCTCATCAACATTTCCAATATTAACTTGAACAGGATTGACTAGTAAATCAGCCGCAATTTTTCGCACCTCCTTTGGCCATGTTGCAGTGTACATTAGGGTTTGCCTACGAGAGGGCACCTCCTTCACAATTTTCCTTATCTGAGGTTCAAAACCCATATCCAGCATCCTATCTGCCTCATCTAAAACCAAGTATGAAACTTGGTGTAGGCTAACTCTCCTCATCTCCAGAATATCATTTAAACGACCAGGTGTAGCCACAACAATATCTACACCCCGATCAAGATCTTTTAGCTGAGGACCTTTAGGAGCCCCTCCATACAAACACTTCATCAAACAAAGATTTAAATCAAATCAGCAAAATACACTTGAGGAACTTGGAAAAGATTATTGCAAGGGCATATTAAAGACTAGTAACAACTAGAGAGACAATACAAGACAGTTTGGACACTCTATTGTTACCAAAGCTTGTAATTTCAGTATTTATTAAGCTATAGAAGGAAAGGAATATACTTCCAAAAAAATGCAAAAGGGCTTAAATACCAAGAAAACAACTAAATCATCTGGGCATTTACTGATGGAAAGAATAGCCTGCCATCACATTTGAACTTGCAGGAGCAAATATATGATGACCTTAGAATTTTGACCCAAAATATTCTCTGCAACACCAACCCTCTTAACAACATGAACTATTGAACTGCCATAATTATTGAAAATATGGATATTTGTTTTAAGTAAATTGTATAAAGCATATACATACTAAAATAAAAAGATTGCATAGGAAGAATATGGATATGAAGAAGTTGTACCGTGCAAGATATCCTAGAAGATCTTCCAAACTTGACAGCTTCATCCTGTATCTGAGTTGCCAACTCTCTTGTTGGAGACAGTACCAAGACTGTGGGTCCTAATTTTGGATTATTACGATGTTGCTTCAGATGCATAAAACCCGGAACTAAGTAACCCAGTGTCTTCCCAGATCCTGTCTTGGCAATGGCCACTATATCACGACCTTGTAGAGCAATTGGCCAGGACTGAGCCTGTATTGGAGTAGGAGCGGAAAATCCGGCATATTGAACCTGTAAAATGTAACAGAAACCCACAACCTCGTAAGCACACCAGCACTCCAAAAGTTCTGATTGATTTCTTTTGGATTTATTCAAGTGGCCAAGGAAAGAAGAAGCATCATCCTCCATGAAGTAAGGCACTGCTTGCAGAAGCAAGCAATTGTAGGAGGACGCCTCTTCTTCTATTCAGACTAAGGGGCAGACTGAATCGCAACAACAGAAGTCCCAGTCCATCTTGGATGATTCTGAAAGCCCCTCAGATATATTGGTCCACCAAAAATGGCTCCAAAAACATGCAAGGAAACCCCCAGAGGAGGGCAGCACAGCGTACGACATTTAGCTCCTCCTGGAGCAAATATCGCACCTGCGACAAAAAAGTTCATATGGAAAAGTTGAGCATGAGCCACAGTGGACCTCAATTGCTATTTTTAGAATCATGGTAAAGTGTAATTTGATGCAATTCACCTAATAATTTATAGTTATATCACATGGGATTACGCACAGCAATACATTCCTTACCTCCCTTAGAATTTCTGAAGGGAAACCAGTGACTTCAAATGATGTGAGAGGTTGAGGAACATTATCTCCCTACCACAACATAAAAACAAAACATAAAATGAGTTTAAATTCACAATAACTTAGAAATAAAAAGTAGAAACTTGCGGAAGTAACATAACAGTTGCAGATAAGAAGGGGAAAAGGTGCAGAGGAAAGTAAATGATCTACACAGTGAATAGAAACTATGCCCAAGTTTCAAACAACCATACAGCACAACAAGTCAAAAAGAATGGAGAAACATCTGATCTTCCAGGATCATAATTCGTAATTTCCATGTAAACCGCTGCATGTTCAATTACTCCAAAAAACCAAACCAGCATAATCAGAAAATTAACAAGCAAAGCGAAACTACATTCCTTGTTCAGCATTTGAGGATTCGGACATATTAGGTTACATGTAATCATGTATTAGAATTGAATGTTCATTTTGACAAAAAGATTAAAAGGAAAAAATCAATCAGAATAACAGAAACAGATTAAAAAGGAAAAAAGAAAAAAAAAGTGTGCATGCAATTTCATAGATGCTCACAGTTACAGAAATTTCATGCCGCCGACGATAAGCTTCAGCAGAGAAATCAGTTTCTACATCTCTGGAGGCATAAGGCCCATGCCCAGCCCTGCTTTTAATATCTGCTTCGCTGAGTGAATATTCTGATCTGCCTCTGGTGGCCTTAACATAAAGAATATAACAAAACTATATAAATTAAATCAAATGTCTTAAGAGGAATAGTTTAAATTAGTCTTGAAAGTAATGTGTTCATGTGATACAAAAAAATTACAAATATAGAAGGAATGTTTCAGATACCTCAAAATTCCCTGCATCAGAAGCAACCTTATGTGAGACACCATCAATAGCTTTGTTATATCTATCATTATCAACACCATTGTCATTGGTAAAGCCTTTGGGGGACTTCTGGACGGAAGAACTCAACAATTTATGGGAAGGTGCAATGCTTGTGTAAAGAGATGCAACAGGTCTCTCATATTGTGTTATGTTAGTCTCTGGATTCCAGAAGTAGAGATATCCAGTCTTATCATCAACCAATCCTTTCCATGGTTTAGGTAGTGTGGGATCCTCAGGGGCATAGCGTATGCCAGTAGCAGCAGCTGCCATACTTTAAGCCTCCCAACAAATAGCCTGGCAGATCTTTTATAGCCCTGGCAGATATAATATGCTTTAAGATAACATAGAAGGGTTTAAAAGAAATCTGAAAAAACCTACGTAATAAGGTGCACGGCGATGCTATTCAATATGATCATCAGCAAAATCCACAATATATATGTAGTTTTTTTCCAACAAAACAGCAGAAAAACTTGCCCAAGAAATAAAACACCACAAGGACACATGAAACCATTTTATCGGAAATACGAACAATCAGATACAGCCTAAATTCTAAGCATATTACCTACAGCAAGCGCCGCCTAAATGACGAAATAAATCACATGAATCAAATGCCAGAAAAACCAAAATAATCACTTTCAAAATTTCCGATCTGAAACCCTAGACAAACTCAATATCTATTCACGCCGAAATAACACGAAAATTCTCAAAAATTCACCGTAGATCTAAATAATCAACGAAGAGCATAAACAAACAACCAACCAAACAGAAGTTTAGGGCAAATTCGAAGAAATTTGCCAAGAATCTCCTCTTCCCTTTTTTTCGGAATAAATTTGGTACACAAGGAAAAAAGCTCTTCCACTCCGCCGCGCTCTCTCTCTTTCTCTCTCTCCTCTCTCTCGTAACCGACCTCGCAGATGTATGTGTATATATGTAGAGGGAGAGGGAGAAGGAGGCGACGGAGATCTACGCTTCCGAAAGCCCAGAAGCGTAGGCGAGCAACAAATGAGAGGGCAGGAGATATTTAGAGCAATTCAATTTATATTACCAAATAATAATAATAATAATAATTAATTAATTAAACACGAGTTTGTGGAGATGTTTCTGTAATTCAATTTTTAAAATTTTATTTAATTTTGTATTTATTAAAAATAAATATTTTCTTTTTTTTTATAAACTGTCGTATTAAATATTATTTTAATATTTTTTAAAAATTTTGTTGAATTTAAATTGTATTTAATCTACAGTTTTAAAAGCTAGAGGTATTCGATCAATTTTTTGAAATTTTATAGTATCTAATAATCTATAAATTTTAAAAATTAGTTGATTTTATTAATTTTAAGTAGATATTTTGATAAATTCTTATTATTATTATTATTATTATTATTATAACATAGTCGCATTTGGCTCGCGTGGATTGACTCGTTTAAGTCTGCATTTTAATCAGCCTAAAATATTAAAATTCAACCATAAGTGTGGAGGGTCAATTCGACCGACTTAACTCATTTTGACAGCTCTACTCGCTACCTTTAGTATATCATTGTGGAAGTAGGCCAATATTTTTATTGGCAAATAGAAAAATGTGTTTAAAAAATGTGTAAAAAACACACTATTAATTTTTTTTAAAAAAAACAAAAAACTATATTTATTTTCTTAAACTAGTTTTCGAATAAAACTGTTAGAAACAAAAAATTGTTCGTGTAATATATTAATTCAAGTTTATTTTAATAATATAATTAATCTCATAAATTCGAATAATTTCAATATTTCAGAATAATAATAAAAATTATATAATATTTTTACAAATTATATAAATAAACAGTTTTAAATTAAAATAAAATATTGTATAATATATATTATTTATATATTATTAGACAATAAAAACATATAAAAATAAATAATTATTATAAATTTGTAAAATTGTAAGGTAATGGAGCTGAGGTGATGATGCTATAGCGAATGTTAAAAAAAAAGAAGTTTGAATGTTGATGTGTATATGGTGTGGATGAGAGATATAAAAAATTGTATAATAATATTTATTAATATTATTATAATATTTTAAATAAATTGTTGTGAATTCTATAAAATAGTAAATGTAATGTATTAAAGGTAATTACTATGAACGACGATAAATAAAATAATTTGAATATTGAAATAAATATTATCCATTGCTCTTGCAACAATAAATTAAAAGCAATAAATTTATTTAAAAAGCAATATTCTACTCTACATGAAAATAGTAAACTGTACCATTAAAAAAAATTAATAAATAATAAATAAATAAAATCTCAAGGATGATTTATATCAGTGAAATTTTATTGGGTAAATTTACATATTTTTTTTTAAAATTAATCATAATTACTAAATGGTGACACAAATTGTAATTAGTAGAGGGTGACATAAATTGTAATTAATCGGAATTAGTAAAGGATGACATAAATTGTAATTAATCGTAATTTTAATTAAATAGTAAAGACATAAATATAATTTATTAGCCACTAAATTTCCACATAAAAAATTGTAATTTAAATTTGAGTCTTAAATTGGAGTTTGACTCTTGAAATGCTGGTCTTTAGTACAATATTTATAATGATCAATTATGAATATTATATCCCACTTTTATTTTTATTTTATTTTTTTCTAATTTTAAGAAAATCAAACCATATAATAAAAAATATGATATTGTTTTCCTCCCATTATAATAATTTTGTAGTAAGACATGAAAAATAATATTTTGTATTAATTATTAATTTTTTGCTAGTGAATAAAATTTATCATTTTTGTCCGTCTCAAAACAATAATCTTATTTCTATAAATAACCATATTACTATAAAACTACCCTTACTTTTTCATTTTTATTACATAATTGTCACTACTTTTAACACTGATACACTCACAAGTTTTTTATCTATATTTTTTACCGACTACCAATATAAAATCAATATTTCTTAAATTTCGTGTCCAACTCAATTAAAATTATAGTTCTAGAACAGAGGGAAATAATTGTGTTTCTTTGGATTAAATTTAATGAAATTTAATTTGAATTTGATATTAAAATAATATTTGATTAAATATTTTATAAAAAAAAATGCAAAATCAAATAGATGAGCATTAAATGAATGAGCAAACATATATAGCATAAAATATCAAAATTTCAATCCTTTGATAGTCAAAAATTTAAATCAAAAGGCAATGGAAAAGGCAAAAACCAATATTATTAACGTTGTCAATCTGCTGAAATAATTCGTTTCTAATATAAATAAATAAATAAATAAATAATAATAATAATAATAATAATAATAATAATAATAACAATAATATCCATAGAGCAGCTTGATGGTCTCTCGTAGCTTCCCCACCGTCGATCCTCCCCACCCTTCAGATCAACGGTCCTCATTCAATCCCATTAATCCTCCACTACATACATATATACTGACACAGTCACCACTTCATCTTCTCCATTCTCCACACACAGACACACACACACAGAAATATGTATACAATATCTATATATGTATATATACATATACATACATGTACATATATATTGAAGGGCTAATTGCATGGATCTCGACACATGTTCTTCATCTCAGTGCAGAGGCAATCATCAAAATCAAAATCTTCATCTTCATCTTCATCCTGATATTTACAAATATCAAACTCCTCCAAATCTCCATGAAAATCCGTACTCTTCGTCATCATCTTCTTCCCTTTTACAGAATCTCGATGATCACAGCCACTTCAATTTCATGGCAGAACCACCACCACCACCCAGCCAGGCAGGAGCAGTACTGTACGATCCATTGGATCACCAAAACCCTAATCAATTGATCAATAATATCCAATTGCAGTACCCTTATAATTTCCCTCAGATCAATATCATAAACCCTAATCACCATCAAAGCTCGACCACTGCTTATTTCCACGATTCAGATCATCATGCTTCTATGGAAGCTCTGCAGTATCAGCGGCCGTTGGATCTGCAGATGATGATGATGATGATGAGCTCCCCGCCAGATTATCATCATAATCAGCGCATCATTGATCATGATTCCTGCACCTTCACGATAATACCAGATCGTGTTGATAATAATAATAAAAATAATATTACTATTAATAATGGTAATAATAACAATGTTTCTGCTGCAAATGATCAGAAGGCTAAGAGGAAGAGATTTGTGGATAAAAAGTCTGAAATAATTAAAGGCCAGTGGACGTCTGATGAAGATAGGTACTGTAAATATGTATATATATACATACATTTTTGTCTGATTATATATTGTAGTTTCATCTTTAATTATTTCATATCAGAAATTTTATTTTCAAATTATTACCAAGCAAATTAATTCATGAATTGGCATTGTAATTGATTTCTTGTAAGATTGCTGGTGGAGTTGGTGGAGAAGCATGGAGTGAGAAAATGGTCATCCATAGCCAAAATGCTTCCTGGGAGAATTGGGAAGCAGTGCAGAGAAAGATGGCATAATCATTTAAAGCCTAACATTAAGGTTAATCTTTTTATTTTTCTATATAAATTTTCAATTGATAATTATATAAGTTAAACATTTGATATGTGACACTCTTTGTGATTTATTTATTTATTTTTTTTTTATATGTATGTCAATCATCTAATATTGCAATTCGGTATAGAAAGAAAATTAGTTAATCATGAATTGATGAAGGGTTATGATATTTCTACTTTGGTGTACTTAATTTACATAAACGATTCATATCTCCAAAGGTAACATATCCCATCCATTCTTTTTAATTTCCCAATTTTGATTTTTCCTAAAAGACAGGCTTTGACGATCTGTAGATTGGCATTTTAGTTTTGGAGTAATAAGCTTCATGCCAAAATGTGAAATTTGGTGTGTTTCTTTTTTAGCTGGTTTGAAAATTTTTAATTTGAATTTGATATTAAAATAATATATCCAAAAAAAAAGAATATCGTATATTAATATAAAAATAATGTCATTTGTGTAATATATTTGAAAATTGTAAAATTGTAAGTGTATTAATTATGTTCAATGTAGTAGAATTACTAAATTATGAAATATAATCATTTGTTTGGACTAAAATCCAAAATGGTATCCTTATTGGACGGATGGACTATTATTTTTTGAAAAAAATACTGAGACTAAATAGTAAAATTTAGAATGTTATGTTTTGGACAATAATTGACATAATATATATGGAAATAGTTACGGTACTGATTTAAAAAATGTGTCTACGCCCATAATATATACAAAAATTGTGTAATAAAAGTAGGTACTACTTATTCACAATTACATGCTTGTTTGCATAAGAATATGTTATTTGCTAAAATTAGTGTTGTATTAGACTATATTATTTACTTCATGTGTTGTAGTTGTATTGTATTAGCACATAAAATATATTATCTGTAATAATATTCAGCACAATAAATTCAGCATTGTAATTGTGGTCGTATATATAGATTCTATATATATATATATATATGTATGTATATCAAATTGGTAGTTAGGTAGAGGGAACCAACCCATTGAAGTTCTTCAAAAAAAATAAAATAAAATTAGAAATCCTTAATCACTAACTTGACTCCATAGGAGATTAACATGGAGCTTCTTCTCAAAGGTTGATTGACCAATTTATTTAAGGCTTTTTAATGCACGCAGAAAGACCGGTGGTCGGAGGAAGAAGACAAGAAACTGATCGAGGCCCACCGGCAGCTGGGCAACCGGTGGGCGGAGATTGCCCGGAGCCTCCCGGGGAGGAGCGAGAACACCATCAAGAACCACTGGAACGCCACCAAGAGAAGGCACCTCTCATCCCAGCGTCGCACGGCCATTGCCATTTCTTCTTCATCTCCTCCGTCCCTGTCTAAGTCATCTTCCAGCCCGACTCCCGCATCTGCTTTACAAGACTACATCAAGACTCTCCTCGATAATTCTAACTCCGCCGACACCGTGAAGAACGCCTCATCAGGCCACTCTGCATCCACCTCCCCAGCTCATCACAGTAAATTGAAGCAGGAAGTGGACAATATTGAAATTGATCAAGATCAAGATCAAGAAAGGTCGATCGAGTCAATAATGGCGCAGAGTAATGTTACTCAGGCTGATAGCAGTTGCGATCAGCAGCAACAACACCACAACATGACTTCTGAGTTGCAGAAAGAGATGGATTTCATGGAGATGCTCTCTTTCACCTACATTTAGTAAGATAACTCGATGCACACACAACGTAAATGTAAAGGAGTTTCAAGTTTCGCCTTGGCGGGCTTAGCTGGTTTGGTAAGCTTTCTAAGTTTTTGATCTAAGTACAAAATGATAAGTTGAGTGTTTCCGATTACATTACATATATAATGTATGATGAATCATACTTTTTTTTTTTTGTGTGAGAATAATGATGTACTGCTCTTACATATATATTGGGTGGGCAAGATTTGTTGATTCTTGATCCAGCAACAAAGAAGACATTTCCATGGTTGGAAAAAGCTCAGAGCCAAGACTACGATCAGCATTCTGGTATGTTCGGTTAAAGGATTCTATCCAAATTTTACAATTCATCGAATCTTCCCTCCCCCCCCAAAGACATCAAATCAAATACATGTTTGTTATTTTTTATATTATACTAAAAATCAAGTTTACATTCAAAACATTACATCGACATCTTTTTATATCACATCATACAACTATTCCAATTCAAAATTTTTATCTTTCAAATCCAACTCAAAATCCAAACCACCGAACAAACACACCCTAAATGTTTTTCGGCAACTAAGATAACTAAGCTAAGGGAAAACAGAGATTGGTGGTGGTTGAATCTGATCAAGGCTAGGATGAAATGAATCCACACAATTCATATGTGTAACATTAAAGAAAACATTAATATATTTCATATAACAAACATTTGAAAGATGTCTACATTCCAAACTCTTGATCAAAGACTTCAATTTCAAGACAAACACAAGCACTTATAGCCATAGCAACACAAAGTTGTTAGGGATTTATTACCACAATAGCAAACCTTATTTTTTACCAACATAGCAATTGACAAGCAGTCTAAGCAGAGGCTGTCGCAACAGCGCCAGCATCAGTCAGCAACGGGACAAGCTTCCCTTGATTGTGCAATCCTGTCGTCGCTGCAAAGGATGGCCAACATGTCAATTGATATCTAAAAGAAAAAACTTGAACTGTTAACAAGAATGGTTAATCTCTTACTATCACAGCCACCAATGTGCTTCCCACCAATGAATACATTAGGGACCGTGCGCTGTTTGGTCCATTCATACAGAGCTGCTTGAATTTCGTTTCCATCACCTTCAGATTTACAGATATAAGATTTTTAAAGTATAATAAATCGAATTGAGAAAGAATAAAGCTTACACTATTTCTTCACACTTTAAAACATAAGGATTAAATTTTCTCATGCTTGAGATCCATAACATGATTGAAGTAGCATAGAATTGATAATTTAAAAATGATTCCAGATTTTACAAAATAGATAAGAACTAAACAACATTAAATCCAGTCAGAGAAAGCGACAATTAAACAAACAAATAAATTCCTTTCAAAATCACGCAGTTAGAAGAAAGATCAAACCCTCGGTATCCAATTCAATGGCCTTGAAGGAGGCGCCGAGCTGCCCCAATAATTTCTTCACGTCCTTGCAGAATGGACAGTAGGATTTGCTGCAACCACCAACGGAAAAATCAGATCGCGCGCTTATTCAAATTCACAAACCACAATCCCACGCAGAAAAAAAAAAGAAGAAAAAAGCAGCGTAATCCCCTCTCTCACACACAAAAGCCATTAAACCACAGAGCAGCTGTAGCACAAAATCGAAAACAGATCTATAGAGAGGGAAAACCTGAAAACGACGACGGAGTTCTCCGAAACGATACCCTTAGCCTTTTCAAGCGCCATGTCGTCGCCCTTCCGCGTTCAAATTGGTCGTAGAAAGAGAAGTGAGATGGAGCAAAGAGCTATGGCATACGCGTGGGAGAGATACATGTACATAAATAAATAAATAAATACAGTGTGAAACGAAGCGTGTAGACGGGAGCGCGTTGAAAATGGAAAGCGCAATTATTTTAAAACAGGCCGGGCCCAACATTGTTTACAAGGGCCCAATTTAGCATTTGCTTTTTATCTATATTTATCCGCGACTAAAAGTTACAAGTAATATAAATATCAGACAAAAAATAAAATAAAGGTATTATAAAAAAATAATAAAATAAATTTAAAAATACTAATAAAAAATTTTATTATTGTCTCCATCCCAATCAATTTAAGATAAAAAAAAATAAAAAATTTAATTAGTTAATAAATTATAATATTATTTTATTATACTTTTATATGAGTAATATATTATTGATAGTTTTAATACATATGATTAAAATAAATTTAGAATATGTAATTAAATATTTTAAATATTATTTATATATCAATAAAATATATACAATATGAATATCATTCTGTAAAAAATAAAATTTTAAATAATATAAATAAATAAAAATATATTTATTAATTTATAATTAAGATAAAACTAATTTTATAAAAAAAAAAAATAGAAGTGTTAAATGTAGATAAAAATATTTGTTTGTTAAAGAGATATAGAAATAAAGAGGTTTTGAATGGGTCCTTATATGTTATTAAGTTAATTAAATTGATTTATCTTTGTTAAGTATATGTAAATTTAGTAAATTTTACTAAAAATTGAAAGTATTTGTTAACATATAAGTATTTTATTCTAACTAAAAATATATGTTAGTTACATATAAATAATTTTCTTATAAAGTTATTTTATTTATTTTTTAAACAAAATTAAATATAATTTAAATTTAGGCTCATAATCAATTCACATTCCACAATAGTCTTTTCATAAATACATATTAGTACCCAAAAGTGCGCCATTCGTCTAAATCCCGGCAGCAAAATGCCTATAATTTATTTTAGAGCAAAAATTATTTTTGTCATATTCAATATTATAATTATTAATTTTAGTTTCATTCAAAATTTTTTATTAATTTTGGTCTCACTCAAATAAAAATTTATAAATTTAGTCCAAAGATGTGACTCAGAAGGTAACTCACGACCATGTTGATTACCCTGCACTTTTGAACACGGCCGTGTTTCTGACTGTGTTCTTCTGAACATAACCATGTTTCTATTCATGTTCTCAACCATATTCTTGCACATATTCTCAACACAATCATATTTAAGTCATGTTCATAACCTTCTTCTCAACACAACCATATTTTAAGTCAGAACCATATATATATATATAGATATATATATTTATAATTCAACAAAAATATTTTTTATAATTATTTCATAATATAAAAAATAATCATTTTTAATATTTAAAAAAAAATTACAAAAAAAAATATAAATGTTAAAATATTTAAAATATTTGATATTTTTGAAAAAAATAAATAAATTTAAGAATAATAAAACAAGAATCAAAACCTTAGAAATAAACAGAGTCAGTGTTTCAAAGTCGACCTGAGTAATTAAACAATTTTGTCCACATAACAAACTAATAAATCTATTCAATGGTTGAATCGTTAGTTCTGTGCAAAGCCTATATAACCTGTAGGATAACAATGACCGTTCACCTGCCCAAAATTTGACTGTATATGCATGTAGATGTAGTCCACACTCCAAATTGCACTGTCTTACTTGTTGAGTCTAAGACTCCATACAACAATGGCGATTTCCTTCATAAAACTATTTCTTCTGGGATATATATATATATAAAAGATAAGATATGTACACCTTCAAATGTCAAAATAAACCTTATTATTTTATTAAATAAATCAGATACAATTTTCATGAATATATATTGTCGAGTAACGACAGCATCAACATTTTTTCTCCAATAATAATAACAAATAAACCAATACTGAAAAGATAAGAAAAATGATAGTATTTCATATTTATACTGCAACTTCACCATCAATATACAAATATAAGTTATCCGCAAAAACAAGAGCAATCTGTTGAAGAATATAGCATCAAATGGTTACTAAAAGTAGTCAATGGAAGGGCTAAAGCAAAACCAATACCAGGTTTCCAAATGGCAAAAGGTTGTCTGAGTAAAACCTTTAAACAAGAAGCTTTGAGTTGAGATTCTGGGCGACGGCATCGATGAATTCTTCGGTGCTCAAGTAAAATTCCCGCGACACCCTACGCATCAACGGTATTCCTTAGAAACGTGCAAGAACGAGATATAGATAGCGTGTTGCTACTCTAGTAAACAAGTGCAGAGACATATGCTTTAGTTTACTTTGGCCCGTGAATGAGGATAGCAAGGTCTTTTGTCATCTTGCCCGATTCCACGGTCTCAATGCACGCTGCTTCTAGCTTGTGAGCAAAGCATAGCAACTTTTCATTTCCGTCGAGCTTCGCCCTGAAAGAAATGTTTTGTAATGACATGTAACGATGTTTTGGAGAACACATTTTCATGTTCTAGAAAACAAACCTGTGTTCTAATCCTCTTGTCCAAGCAAATATAGAAGCAATGCTGTTTGTGCTAGTTTCTTCGCCCTTTTGATGCAGTCTAAAGTGACGGGTTACAGTCCCATGTGCGGCCTCTGCTTCTAATGTTTTGCCGTCACCAGAAAGCTATCAAGCAGACACAACCCAAACAACGGTAAAATTGTCTGAATATTATATATGTGTAAATCTATATAAAAATGATGACGTAGAACTAACCAATACAGAAGTCATGAGTCCAAGAGAACCAAATCCTGCACATAGCACATGTAGGTCAGCCAGGTCAGCTGATCTTTACAGCATAGTTAACACATTTTGACACTATTAATTTCAACGTAAACGAGAATCACCTTGAGCAAGTAAATCACTCTGGACATCTCCGTCGTAGTTTTTACAAGCCCATACATATCCACCGCCACTTTTCAGTGCATATGCCACCATGTCATCGATCAATCGATGCTCATACCTATGCAGAAGCAGGGGGACACAATAAATTTTACAGCAATAAACGCAGAGGCACATGTAAATATACAATCCATCGCAGAATAAGCAAAAAACCATATTGAATTTTCTTCAAATTTCTCCTTCCATTTCTCTTCATATACCTCCTGAAATATATCCTTGAACCTGAAAATATTTGAAAAGAGGGTGAGTGTTGTGAGGTATTCCACACATGCTGCAAGTATGATAAGACTCAACCATGGATTATTACGAAACATATGTTACCTGCCATCATATTTCTTAAGAATAGTATTCTTTGTACTCAAGTAGAGAGGCCACCTTTTACCAAATGCCATTGCCATTGATGATTCAGCAAATGCTCGAATAGACTAGTATGTTCTCAAATGATTGTGAAGAAACAAAATGTTATTTGTGTGCGGCAGTGCAAAGCAAATTTATTGGAACAATAAAAACCTGGTCAACATTGTACATAGCAAGCGCCACTCCTGGACCTTTAAAATCGTACACTTCCAGTTCCCGGGGTTCACCTCCATTTTCTGGCTCTGGAAAGGAAATAAGTGGAAGTTACTGCATGGCCCTTGTTATTTTAGACTATAGTTATCATATGCCAAAGATTATCAGCATACCAAAAACCATTTTAAGCTTCCCTGGTCCTTCTACAACAGTGTCAGTAGCACGATATTGATCACCAAATGCATGTCTACCAATACAAATAGGTTTAGTCCACCCTGCAAAATGAGATTAAAACAACTAAAAGACTGTTCATATGCCACTTTATTCAATAATTATAAAAATAAAAGCATTACCATGGACAATTCTGGGTATATTTTCGCACAAAATAGGCTCCCGGAAAACAGTTCCTAGGATAGAGATTGCATATAACAATACGTTATGTGAGTAAGATATTTAATAATCAGAAAATGCATAAAAGTCTCTTGGAACAAAGATGGCACAACACACGGTTTTTACATACAGACCATTTAAAATATTCCTGATTGTTCCATTGGGGCTTCTCCACATTTCCTTTAGTCCAAATTCCTTAACTCTGCCCTTATCTGAAACAAAACAATAAGGTTTCTCTCTGTTTGACATCTGTTACGAGGTCAAAATTGGGAATCACTAACCTGGAGTAATTGTAGCACACTTTATAGCAACATTATACCTGGAAATAACACAAATGAGAGGACAAAACCAATGAAAGTTAGCTTCAAGTGTACTGCACTAAAATTCAATAATTCACCATCTCGCAAAAGGAATTACTGCTTTCTTACGAGTGTGCGATTAACTGTTAATAAACATCTATTAGTTTCGATTGGATTCTATATGTAATAATCTGCATATTACAGACTCGCTACTTCACAAAACGCCTAGCCCAAAAGTGTGTATATTGCCAAGTATCTATACAACAAATTGCTCTACTCTGAAAACTTACTAGACCTTAAGAAAACAATTAATCTTGCTTTTACACAACCATTCTACTTTGCAATCATGGGGGTGATAAGACTTCCAATGAGTACAACCATTCCGTGATCCCAAACATGGTGTCCACCAATTCCTCTAAACCGTGATAGATTTAAAGAAGTAACATATTAGCTCGATTAATAGAGTCATTTCAGCTGAAATTATAAAAGATATTACAACCATCGTGATAAGAATCATTACATTGCTTTAGTAACCACAAATTTAGGCATTCAAAAACATCTTAACAGAATCAACAGAGAAGTGACAAACATTTAGCCACAAATAGGAATCCTGCAAACTTACTCAAGTGCTGCTTCCGCACTCTCAATAGTAACTTTGTCATTGGTGGCATCACGATTCAAAATCCCCAAGTCGAAATACTTTATATCCAACTCCAGATAAGGAAATATCAACTGCATTCACGCGAAAGCAATGCAATGAGTTACCAATATTCAATCCAACTATACACGATCAACAAAAAAACAGTGCAAAATAGGGTGAAGACCTTATCTTTTATCATCGTCCAAATCACTCGCGTCATTTCATCACCTAAACTCCTCAATACACAAAGTGAAATTAAGAAACCAAAATCGAGTAAAATCAGTCAAATCTTTCTTCGAAAACAACAAAAAAAAGCATACCATCCATTTCAACTACGGGATTCTGAACTTGAACTTTATCAACGGAGGCCGCCGCCGCGGCAAAACAACGAAAGGAAGCATTGGGAAACCGAGCGGGCAGAGAGGCACTGCTCGACAAAAACGATCCAGGCGAAAGTACCAAACTACGAGAAATTGGCAATCTAGGGTATCCAAGGGCAACACGAGGTGGCGATGCGTTAGTCGCAGCGGAGACGATCATGGCGGTGGACCGGAGGCGGAGGCGGTGCGCGAGCATTTTTGTTGGACGGACCGTGGGTTTATAGCCTGAGGGGTTTTGCAGTTTGGACGGCAGAATTAAGTGATAAAACTAATAGTGTGTGTTTGGGGTTTTTGGATTTTGAAATGCGAGAATTTGAATAGGCGTGTGTGATGTGATATAAATAAGTGTTTGACTACAATATTTTGAATGTAAAATTGATTTTTATTATAATATAAAAAATAAAAGATATGTGCTTAATTTGATATTTTAAGGAAAAAAGAATGGGATGAATAATATAAATCCAATCCCTCAAACAAACACAAGATCTAGAGTGATAAACCCTTCGACGCCGTTAAATCGGACGGCGAAAAACCGTCCATCCATACGCTGTCGTTTCGTACAAGCCATGAATAGAGTGAGTTTGTTCATTTGTATGATTGGTATTTGAAATTGAAATCTAGATCACTTTTTACACTTAAATATTATATTAAAACATTATTTAAATAAAACCTTTAAATTTAATATATTATTTTACATTAATTTCAAATAATTCAAATAAACAAGAATGTACTTAGCATAAAGAAATAGAAATAGAAAAATACAAATATTTTTATTCATTTTCTTTTATGAATCTTTTTGAATTTTAAACGGGCCTACAAATCTATTCAAACTCTCAACAAATTTCTAAATTTTTGGGTGAGATTTCTCAAGGCATAACGACGGACGGGGAAGATTGACACCACTCAAAAAATTGAAATTTTAGAAATGAATTATTTTTCTTTTTTTATTTTATTTTAAAATGAAAAATATTGCATTCTTTTTTATTTTCATTTTTATAAATTTAATATTTATAATTTTTATAAGATGTATTATTAAATTTAATGAAAAATTACATTCAAACTACAATTAAAATAAAAACATTAAATTATTTTTAAAAAACTAAATAAATCCACAAATTCTCAGTTTAAGTTCACTATTCTTTTCATTTTTAAATATTTATATTATACTCCGTTGTCCCACCTCTTACCTCTTGTATCCAATTTAATTGAACATTAGAAAATTTAAGTAAATTTTAATTAGTAAATAATTAATAACTGTATTAATAAAAATAATTATTATATAATAAAATTAATTATAAATTGTGATTAAAATAAATAGTATAATTAAAATTAAAAAATTATAAGTTATGAAATTTAATATATAATTAAAATGTATAATTATATTTTCTAAAAAGAAAATGACAAATAAGGTGGAACTGAAATAAAAATAGTGGACAAATAAAGTAGGACATGGAGATTACTGTTTTTTTATAATAATACATTAGCGTTTAAACCCGTGCTATGCACGGATGTTTATATTTAAATTTAATTATTATATTATTTTTATATAATTTTAATATTTAAAATAAATCAAAATATATATATGTAAAATAATTATATAATCTAATATATTTATATTTTACTATTTTAGTGGTTGTATTTTTTAATGAAATTTTTTCTATAATTTCACTAATGTTTTTATTTTAAATATTAGAAGAAAATGCAAATAATTAATTACTACAAATATTAAAAATAAAAATAAAATTATTTTTAATTATAATTTTATTGTATAGAAAAAAACTCATACAAGAAAATGATGATTGATCATATTAACTAAAATATATATATAAATATACTCCATAAAATAAAATTAAAAAGGTGTAAAACTCCAATTTATATTCAATTTCATAAACTTTTAAATTATAAGTGATATGATCTTCATAATCTATCAAATATCATTTATAATAAATAAATAAATATTTTGCATAAAATCACTTAATATAATAATAAATTAATAAACTAATAATATACAATAGATATATAAATCATAATATCAAACTATCCATATTTATAATTACAAAAATCTTTAATCCAAATTTTCAATAATAATTATCAATTTTTAAATTTAAAATAAATGAAAAAAAATTAAATTATATGTAAATATATGTATAATAAAATCATCCGACCAATATATGTATAATAAAATCATCCGACCAAATTAGCATTTATAGTTGAAGTTTACAATTGAAAATATCACTAACAATTATCCAAATCTTTTTTATTTGAAATTAAATTATATATAAAATTATTATAAATTTTGTTATTGAAAAATAACCATTTAAAAATTAACTAAAACTATTTAAAATATCCAAATATATAATTAAATATGTCAATATAAAAATAAACAAAATTTTTTTTATATAAAATTATAAATACAAATATATATATTTTTTTATTTTTTATGAAAATTATATCAAATTAATTAACAACATCAAAATTAAACTTTTAAACAAATTTAAAATAAATATGTAAATATAAATAAATAAAATAATATATTATACAATATTATAAAATAATTATAATTTTATCGTATTAATATATTTTTAATTTTTTCCTTTTTTAATGAAAATAAATAACAACATAAATATATTTATAAAAAATATATTCACATTATTTGATGATTGAAATTATCTTCAAATTGCAACTTTCAATATCCATACCTCCGATGACCAAAACAAAATAAATAAATTGAAATTATAATAATGGAATAAAGACAATTTAGAAATAAATGTGATAAAAATAAAGAATATTAAACAAATAAATTATAATAGAGAAAAATCGAATTCAAAATTTCAACTCAACTCATGCTAATAACTTGGTCTATCTCAAAAGTAGTATAATCTAATTACATGAGTGAATTTTTTGATTCTACATAAAAGAAAACAATAAAAAATATAATTAGAATGAATAAGAAAAAAATAGAAAAAAAAAAGAAAGAAATGAAAAAATTAATTTAAAAAATAGATCGAAATTATCTTCAGCCGATGATGAACAAATGTAATTAAATAAAGAGAATACTAAACAAATAAATTATAACAGAGAAAAATCGAATTCAAAGTTTCAACTCATGCGAATAACTTAGTCCATTCCAAAAGTAGTTTATTCCAATAACAACAGTGAATTTCTTGATTCTACATTTAAAAAGGAAAAAAAAAAACATTATTTGATTGAATGAATGAAAATAAAATTGAAAAAAAAATGAAAAAAAAATGAAAAAATTAATTTGAAAAATAGATTGAAATTATCTTCAGAGACGAAAATTTTTTCATACCGAGTACTACCATACTTTAAAAAAATCGAATAAAACTGTATATCCATAAACATACTTAAAATAATTATAAAAATTTTAAAAATAAAAATATATAAGAAACCTCAAAATTCTGAAATTGCAGGAATTTCAAAACACCTTTTGCTATAGTTATATATAGGATTTCTCGTTATTTTGCATTACTTACAAAATTTTCTATATCACACACATAAAAAAAATATCTTTCAAACTATTTCACTAAACAAATAAATTCAAACTAATGGTGCGTTTGACAAATAGCTGATAAATGTTAGTTAATTTAATTAGCTGGTTTGACTAGCTGATTCAATTAGCAGATTGTATCAATGTGTTTGGTAAAACAACTGTTTGACATTAGTTGTTTATACATAAAATGACTATTAAAGACATTGATATGTTATTTTTTTAAATATTTAATTTTGTTGATTTTGATTTGAAATTTATGAGAATTTTTTTTTATTAATTATTGAAAATTATAAAAATATTATAAAATATTTATTTTTATTTTATTATTTAGATTTGAGAAAATTATTTTACTAAAAAATAATAATTTTTTATTAAAATTATGTAAAATATCAAATATATTTTATTATATTAATTATTGTTTTAATATATATAAATAAATTAATAACTTTTATTTTTTTTATTTGATTTAGTTTTAACATTTTATATATTTTACAAATAAAATAATTTATATGTAATAATTAACAATAGTAATTATTTAAATTTATAAAAATAAAAATATAATTTAATAAATTAAATATATTAAAAATAATTAATAAATACTGCTATAAAAATATATTTATATGTATAAAATAAATAATTAAGTTTTAAGGGTAAATAAGAAATAACTAAAATTAAAATGAAAAAAAGCTCTTTCAAAATGTTGGATAGATGAGCTTTTCAGAAATTAGTTTTTTGAGTCCAAAAAGCTCTTTAAAAAAACTAATTTACCAAACACTTAAATTAACTTAAATTAACTTTTTGACCGGTCAAACAACTAAAAGTTGTTCAATAAACTAAAAACTTTTCAAAAAAAGTGTTTCTCAAACATCTTCTAACTGGTCGTATTATTACAATAATATAATTAAAATATAAGAATATTGTTTATTAGATCATGTACACTTACTGAGAAAAAAAAAAAAAAAAAAACTGAATGCTTAAATTGAGCTTGAACCAATCAATGTAAAAAAATTGAAAAATTAATATAGGATGAAATGAATTTTATATATTATACTTTTAGGTAATATTTTTAAGAGATGTGTATATAACAAACACACTATTAACACTCTTTAAATAAGTTTCGAGAATTGTAAAGTTTGTTGGTTTGTACTTATATTCAACATTATATCTAAGTAATGGGTTTAGTCACTTATATTTTTTTATTGTAACGATTTCTCATGATTATTATTTAAAAAATATGTAATTTACACATGACAATTTAATAGAAAATATTACTTTTTTTAATATTAGTACAATTTTTTTATATTTAACGTATAAAAAAAAAAACATATCCATAAAAAAACACAAAGTGAACAAGGTTAAAACAATAAATTAGACTATTTAAGATTAGAAAAATTATAGATATAAAATTTAAAATTTGTAATCTTTTTTAGTAAAAAATAATAATAATAAAGCAAAAGAGCGATATGAACAACTGAAACAACAATATAAACAAAAGATATGAAATATAGAAAATAATAAAAAATCAAATACGTAAACAAATTTCTAATTTACTATAACTTTAATTAAAATATAAATATAAAAAATTACTACAAATATAATTACTTTTTTATTATAAATATAATTTATAAATTAGTTCAAAAGAATCAATTTGTAATAAAAATAATATAAAATTTTTCAAAAATACAATATTTCAACGAGCTGATTAAAATAAACAGTTCAACAAACTCTATAAGGTAAATTATTTTTGGCCTAAGTCTTA